ATTTTCAAACTAGATACTTTAGGAGAGTAAGCCTTAATGTTATAATTCCGCTAAAATTGAGTAACAAGTATCCGGACTTTCTTTATCGATGATCCCTAATCTATTATCTTTCTATATAAATAGGTCGAACATTGGATATTGATTATAATTTATCTCAAATAATGCATGCTATTAAAGTCAAAGAACAACAAAATCAAACTGCTTTAAGATTTTTATCAGCAGCAGCAACTTTGAATAATCGTCGTCGACATACATGTGTTGGAACAACAATTACAAATTCAGAAGTAGATGTAACTAGTTGGAAACAAAATGCTGCTCAATCACAGGTTTATTGATAGATTTTTATTTTTTTGTTTATGTTTGTTTGTTTTTTTTTGTATTTAAATCTTTAGATAAGAACTCGTGAACGTTTAATGGCATTAATGTTTGCATGTGATAAACAAGCTGGTCTTTCACGATTACCATTAAATCGAAGTGCAAGTGTAAGTTAATAAGAAATAATCGAATTTATTTTATTTATTATTGATTTGTGTTTTTTTTTTGTTTCTTGATATAGGTTGTTTTTAGTCAAACAAGTGATCTAGCTGAACAACCTCCAATTGGTAGTCTACCAAGTTCAAGTAAAGAATCTATGACATCGGAAAATGTTGATCAAACATTTATATCAAAACAATTCGATTTTTTGAATGACGAGGTATCTTATTTCAAAAAAAAACAAAACAAACAATAAGATTTCATTATTTGTTCTTTTTTTTTAATATATTTTACTTAGGATTCAATTCATGAAATGTTTCCAATTACAACTGATACACATGATTTTGGTGATGAAGATGATGGACCAATGACATCATTTGATGATGCTCAATTACCTGTTGATAATGAGGTATATTATGAAGTTTTTATAAATAAAAATAAGAAAAAGAAAAAAGCTTTTGTTTATTTCTGATGTTTCTAATTAATAATGATCACTATTCGCTTTAGCCACGGCGTAATAGTATCAGCAATACATTACGAAATTTATCATCAGTTGGCGAATGGTTTGATCCATCTCGACTAAAATCAAAATTTCGTGGAAAACTACCAATATTTACTAGTTCTAATGGAAGCAAGACAGCTTATCGCAAGGTTAACTTGGATAGTCTTGTATTTGATTTCATTTATCCCTTTTCTTCTGCTTTACGCGCATATTTCTAATAACTTCTATTGCACAATAACAAAAATTTTTTTTTTCCCGTATTTGTTTTGTGCCATTGCAGCAATAACTTACTGCTTGATAGAGAAGCTTTATATTTTTAACATGTCTTATTGATTCACATGCTATTCAATTAATTTAATCTATATTTCAATTTAGCATAGTGCAAGTGATTTTACTCATATGACTGATGTTGTTGTTGATACATCAAGACATATGGAAGAATTTACATCGGCTATGGATGCTTCAACAACAACAGCTTCAATAGCAACAGCACCAACAACAGGAAGAGAACGAACAGGAGCTTCTGTTAATTCGTAAGTATTTTAGAATAAGCTAAATGATTCTCTTTTTTTAATGCTCGAGTAATATGCATGTGTTGCTCAATATAAATAAATTTTTCTAGTCTACGCTGCTCATACATCGTAGATAGACTAGAACCGAGAAAGCTCAAAAGGAGAGCACCGAGCAAATGTTGGACATCATGGTCACGGTATGTCTTTATTTTCTTCTTTTCTCTATGTGTTCAAACACTTCACGCTTTTTCACAAGTCGTATTATATTCATGTGTGTTGGCTTCTTTCTATATTTGAATTTATTTATATATATATATATATATATAAACTTATTTTTTTATTATTATAGTGAGGATATGCCTGATCTAACTATTTCTCAAAATTATCATCCAACGGGACTTTTACATGTTGTTACAATGAATAATGAATATATTGAAGATGCTTGGCAAACACATGCTAGAAATTTAATTGATGAAATAAATCCATCTGATAGTGTTAAAACATTTTTATTATTTCGACGTTTATTTAAAGTAAAATTTTAAATTTAATAAAAAGATTTAAAAAAAAGTTATTGACTATTGTTTGGTTTTGTTAAGGAAATTCGACGAAGATTATCCATATTTGTTCATGAAACAATTCATTGTCTTTCAATGGATAATCGTTTTCGGCAAATTGTTTCACAATTTGGTTTGTATTTTTTTTTTGGTTTTAGTTTTTCTTAGAAATATCTTTTTGTTTATTTGTTTTTTTTTCCTTTTAGTTAATATGCTTAATGTTTTAATGGAAAATCTTGATTGTACATTAATTTTTGTTGATGAAAATATCATGAATATTAATCAATTATTAATAAAACATCGTTTAATTATAACTGAATTAAATGAAAATTATGGAAATTATATATCAAAAAAAGCTTTAGCAATTGATTGTCTTGATTCAATTAAAGCTAATCTTAAATTACAATCATTAGGTGAACGAGGTTATGATAAATTTGTTTCAAATGAACAAAAAATTCATATGTGTAAACATCTTTATAGTAAGTAAACAGTATAATAACTAGGATATATTAATCAATATTCTTTTTTTATCATCAACATCATTTCGATATGTGATATTATTAAAAAAAAATTGAAGTTGATACATGAAGAATATATGCAAAAAATCTTTTCTTATATTATTTTTTATTTATGATATCATAAATCTTTGTTAACTACTTGATAAAAATGAAAGATTAAGTTCTTGTAAAAAAAATTACTTGCTTATTTATTTTTTATTATGATGAACAATAAAAATAAAGTAATACTCATAACCCTAGTGTCAGACATTTATTTAAAGGTACCTTCTCTCTTTGGGACTACTTCTAATTTTCCGCAAAAGTTAAATCGGCCAACCTCAAATTTTTATCACAACAAGATTATCGAAAATAATGAGATTTCTGTTCGAGAAAAAATTGTAAAGACAGATTTTCAGGATTTTTCTGAAAGAACCTTCAAAAACCGCTGGGCCTCCGGTCGCACCTTGTCCTATCGGATCGAAATTTTCTGGAAGAATATCTTAGAGGTGTTTTTAAGTTTTTTTGAAAAATATCAATTTCTCGATTTTCCATTGAAAAAAATACGGAAAGCAAGAACTGGAAAAACGATTATCGAACTAATTCTTTCTCTATTTTCTAATTAACAATTGGCAAATTGATAATTTTCAAAAAGCTTAAAAATACCTCTGAGATTCTGTTTCAGGAGGTTTCAGTCCGATAGGAGAAAGTACTACCGTAAGCCCAATGGTTTTTCAAGATTTCTTCGAAAACCATGAAGACTTACTTTGAAAAGTTTTTTCAAAAATCATGCCAATAATACGATGAATACTATTTAATTTTTATACCTTTGAAATCAATTGATAAACTTTAATATGAATATCATACATTAAAAAAGAAAAAATAAACTGAAAAGATAAATGAATATACGTTCTAAACTACCAAAATAAAAAGAATGAATGTATGTAAACCTTAAAGTTTTGATTTTCTATTTTGAAAACTCATGGTTTTAGTTTCTTAAATACTTGTATGTTTCTCCTCAAATAAGTACATATTTACTGTAGATCGAGATTTTTTTCTTTTCTTAATTTAATAAATATCTTTACAGCTAAAATACAATTCTTTTCTTTAATTTAGACTTATTTTTTCAAGTAATAACATTAGCAGAAAGTTATTCAAAATTAGTTAATAATTTATTACCTATTGCACGTGATTTAACAATAAATGTAAGAAATTTATCTTCAGAATTTACATTAGCATTAAATGGTTTAAGTGATTTTTTAAATGATCTTCGTTTGGGTAAAGAAGATCAACCAACAATTGAAACAAATAATTTACCAAATCGTGATACAGCTATTGCTTATATATTTCAATGTTTACATTCAAATACGTATTCAAATGCAATTAAATATCTTCGATCAGCAAGGTATGTAAAAACAAAAACAAAAACAAAAAAAGATTTAATTTTTTTTTTAAATTTATTAATAAATTTCTTTATTTTATTTTAAAGATCACTTTGGCCAGATGATTTTGGTGATGAACATAATGAAGTTGATGTTGCACTAACAATTCTTTATGAATCCTTGAAAAAAATGCATACAACAGCAAGTATGTTTAATTATAAAAGAAAAATGTACTTTTATGAATTTAAATATATATATATATATATGTTTCATTTAGATTTACTTGTTATTCTTCAACAAAATCCTCCGATTGCAGATGTTTGTCATCGATTATATGAACTTAATTTGAAAATTCTTTCATCAACACCTGACTCTCTTTAAAAATTATATTTGAATATATATATTATAAAAAATAGTATATAATCGGTGATAATAATCTATTCTTTTTTGTCATTTTTCCTATTCATTCAACGTGATTGGTGTTTGTATGTGTTTTTTTTTATTACACAATAAAAGCAAGAAAAAAACAATCAAAAGGTTTAATATACTTCCTCGATATATAATCAAAAAATTCTTTTTTTACTATTTTCATAGAACGAAAGAAATCATAAAGAACAAAGAATATTTACTTTATGTTTGATGTCTATGTGAGAACAACTCAGAAAGAACGCTTTCGATTTGATTTTTTTTTGTCGTACGTAGTTTTTTATAGGCAAGAAGCATAAATCACTTGAAAAGAAAAAGAGAGAAAGGAGGGTCTACCACATCACACAAGTTAATCGAATAATATGATTGAAACTGGCATGATGTCCTATCAATAATGAATTGTATGCTAACAAAATAAAAAATTCAAAAGCCAACAATGTATGTTGAAATAAAATCATTGGACTGATGTATAGACATAAATTGTACTATTTGTTTTTTTCTTTCTTTCTTTTTCTAATTCTGAATTGCATTGTCGCATCATGGCGAACGTAAAAACTTCTTTTTTTTTCATTATTAAGCAGTTGCTCATAGTATTGTTTTCTATTTTTCCTATTCACTTATTTTTACAAACAGAAGGTCGAATAAAACAATAACAAATGACAGAAGAATTTGAAAATTTCAATTCGATACAACAATCTTCACCGGTTCCATTATCTGTACAAGATCTTCAACCTAAACAATATCGATCACAAGCAAATAATACTAAAAAGAAAACTCCATTACCATCGCAAACATCAAAACCTCCAAAAGATGCTGTTAAATTAAAACCTATTGAAATTCCTACTCATTTTACATGGGCATTAATTCTTACGATATTTTGTTTTTTTATTATTGGACCATGTTGGGCACTTTATAAGACATTTAAATTACGTCAAATGATTCAACGACAAGAATTAGATGCTGCTGAGCGTTTATCAAATAAAATAACATCTGTTCTTATAGTTTCAACTATACTTGGAATTTTTGCATGGGTTGTATTTTTATTTTGTTCGGTCGGTCTTTTAATAACCGGAAAATTATTAGATGCTAAAGTTGTATAGAAACAAACGATGAAATTTTGTTATTTTCCAATATGACGGTCTTCAAATTTAAAAGCTATCAGATGTTTAAATTTAATCGTGTAGTAATTTATCATGAAAACCCAGTGATTTTGTTTGTATAAATAAATAAAAAGAATTCTTTTTTGTTTATTTACTATTTTAGAGCGTTCAAAACGTTTCCGAACTGATTCTATTTAAAAACAATACGAAGCATTGGTATATTTATATTATTGTCTGTGTATAGTTCATACAGTCGTCTATCTATAGACATGATAAGCTCTATTGAATTAAACGTATATATGAAAATATAGAAATACATTTTAGAGTAATCTTTATACACTGACAGAAAAATCAACAAATTTGAGCATTGTTCAGTAATGAAATTTCTTGTTTTAGAAGGTCATGAATCATTTAATATTTATAAAGATATAATGATAGTTTATGACGATCGATCCTCCATCGATTACTATAGCTTCTGAATGGAATCATTGTTTTAAAGATGGATTACTATATATTGATAATAATCTAGATGTGAATAACATAATTATTAAAACTTGTAGGAGTCTGATAATCGAACATAGTCGAATTGCATCTGAGTAAATAGCGAATACTGTTCACATTTCAAATGTACAATAAATAGCATTTTACATGATCAATTAAATATGATTAAAGTCAGTTCACGAAAATACCACGTTCTCTCACATAATGTTAGCGATGTATCGACCATATCGAGAACTGTCATTGATAGTTAGTTATTCGTCTTTAAAACGATAAGCTCATTCAGATACCATAGTATATGATAGAGTATGGCCATTGTAAACTGTCACCATATGTTCATAAATATTGGATGGCAACTAGCCTTTTAAAACATAAAACTTTGCTCAAGCTTTCAATTTTTGTTAGTGTATAAAGAATGGTCTAAAATGTATTTCTATATTTTCATATATATACGTTTAATTCAACAGACCTTATCATGTCTATAGATAGATAGTTGTATGAATTATTCAGAGACACTAATACAAATACAGCAGCGCCTGTTTTTGTTTTTAAATAAAATCAGTCTGGAAACTATTTGAACTCACGTCATATTTTCAAAAACAGAAATAGAACAAAAATGCACTCATAATAATTTTCGGTAAATAAATTCATTACTAAACTCTATGAAAATAACGAAAATCAAATTTATAGATCAATTTTTGTACCTGTTAGATTATATCTATTTCAAAGTAAGATGAAATAACAGAATAAAAAAAATATTAGATATTATAAATCCCATTACATTACATTTGGGAAAAACAAATTAATTTTATTTTGATTATTTCCTGGCACATAAAAAAAAATGTATTCAAATTGTTCATCACCCAATTTGTAAATCAATGGATGAATACATCTAAGTAAATTCATAATAAAAGCAACTTTTTTTTTATCATGTCGATTCAAAATTATCATAATAAAATAAAATGTTTTCATAGTATCAACTTCAAAGAGCTTTTACTATGTTTTAATTAATTGTGAATCTTAAAAATCATTTTCATCATTTGATTAAATGTAAAACTGTTATTATTTAAATTCATTAAAATATTTTTCCCTGGTTTCCAAGTCATTACATATTTTTAAGGGCATAAGAAAAAAATTTGTGAATACAACTAATAATAATCATTAGTATTAATGCGCTTGAAATCATCAGAGACTTCAATAGGAAAATGCACAAATCAGCAAAAAAGAACAGACACTTTCTTGTTGCCATAATGACAATGTCAACTTCAACACAACAGAACCAAGTCTCGTGAATGCAACATCATTCAATAAAGGAGAAAGAGTAGATATTAGAAAAAGCAAAAAAAAGTTAGTTCATAGATAGAAGACAACTTCAATAAATGACAAAACGTCAAAGAATAGAGAAGCATCTTATTTTGATTTCGATGTTACGTTGATCATTTGACAGTCGACGGAAATGAACAACTGCATTCTACGTTTTTGACAAAGACAAATAGGTAAGGTATAGTTAGATTTTTCAAAAATAGATTAAAAAACAAATCAAAGAATCTCATCATACACTTGTTTTTATTTTTTCATAATCCGATATATTTATAAATTTTGATGTCATATCTATTTTTTTCTAGCTTAGATTTTTCAAAAGATAATTCAAGCGTATAAATTTTATTTATTGTTATTGTTCGCTTAAACAGAGATAACGATTAAATCATATGTGTTATTTTTTTAATCATGAAATCCTGTTCAGGAAAACCTGGAAATAAGGCATCTATTTACTAATATTGATATGCATCTAAGCGAGTGTTACTTTGTTAAGTAGACAAATGATGAAATCATCGCCTACTCAATCTTTCGTTGAGTGTAAAAAGCATTATATTTATAAAAATATAAATAAGAGCTTAGTACGGATGCATATAAATAAATTTGATTCTTTTATGTAAGAAAAAAAATGAAAGAGAAAACAGATAAATAAAAATAGAAAATTTAAAGAGGAAATTTAAAGTGAATACTGTAATGGCTATATTGTCAAGAGGCTCTAGTGAAGAAGGAAACCAAAGAGGAAGAAGAGAAAACTTATTTTTTTGTTATAGTTATAAGAAAAAAAGAAAAAAAGAGAAGATGAGACACTATAATCAGACAGAGGAATCACATAGAATTAATCAGGATAGGACAAAATGAATTCAATTTAAATCAAACAAACCTCACAACATTGTTGATTATTCTTGATATACTACTCTCCTTTTATTTCCTCCTAACATCTTAACTAAGAGCGAGTCTTATTAATTTCTGAAATTTACCAAAACTATTGTATCTCTATAATTTCGAAGAAACATCATAAATATATGAATTGTATATTTATTGTCCATAATAGTCTAATTTTAATAATTTATTGTCTATCCATCTTTGATCTGGTTTGATGGTTTAACAGAAATTGAAAAAATCCAATTATTTCATATCAAAAACAGGTGGGAGTATGTGATCACCTGTTTTTTCTCATAGTTGATTTGTATATTTATATATATAGACTAATATTATATAGAAAAGAAAGAATTCTTTCGAATATTCTTTATATTAATTGAAGTAAAACAGGAATAGAAATCATTTGAGTTTGACTATTTTTACTCTACTATTATCGATTGTATCAATGATTTGATTCAAGTAATGCGATCCAGGAAAGAAGGTGAAAATGTAATTAACAGAATAATTTCCTATTTCCTTTAAAAGTGATGATTCAATTCACTTTGACACCTACATTTAAATTCTTTGATTATTAGACATGCGCATTTATTTACGATTGATCAAAGTAAAGTCGTCCTTATCAATAGAATTTTCTTTTTTCGAGTCGTTATTATTTTTTTATCGAGAAGAAAATTTGCCTCTCTTTATTGACCTATATTTATGTGACATTATAGAAAAAAAAGCACATAAATAATTCGAAACATTTATTCTCTGTACGATCTCCTATGATGCTGTCGTCATCATCTATACAACTATCTATCTATCTATCTAACCATCTATCTATCTGTCTGTCTATCTATCTATCTATATATATATATATATATATATATTGTCGCATACATTGATCTTATGTCATTAGAGTTTGGATCGATTCAACATATAAATCCATTTGCTTTTTTCCTCTTAATATATTAGTATTTCACTTTTCTCTTTTTCTGTTCTCCTTTTACTGCTTTTCCGGGAAAACCAATCAATCCATCAATGGTTCCATTTCTATGAGTCTTATCATGTTTTTCTCTTACGCTTTAGTTGAACGAAATGCCGTTAAAGACGATAAATATTTGATATAGACAATACTATATATATATATATATATATATATATGCGCAATGTTAGAATTTGTGACATGAACATCTTTATTAAAATCTTGTCTACTATTGTAATATTCACTAAAGGTAATATTATACATTATGAAATGAACTCTTAAGTTAGAAGAGTTGTTCATTTTTCTATTGATTTCATTGTTTTTAACGTTGAGGCCATGACTAAACACCAATTCCTCAATCGCTTGATAAAACATTTATATGTTTTTTTTTTGTATTACTTGTGCGGTTACCTTGCATGCGATGAAGACTAGTCTTTTTATCGAGTACATTTCAACTACATATATATAGGTATAAATATTTTATATCATGAGTCTATCTTTATACTAGTTGTCATCATATTGGCATAATATAAGTTTTTATATTAATTCACTTAATTTTTATGTATACATACATATATTGAAAGAGTATTGCGTGCGCAAGAATACAAATGTGAAAAAGAAAATTGTGCAATTGTTATCTTTAATTTTTACTGCCTAGTTTCGAGCTTAAGTCTATTTATTTTAAGAATATTTTCTCGATTAGAATACGGTTGTATAATTTCATATAGAATACGGAGGAGTAGTTTTTACCGAAATATGCGAAGTAAATGCGCATTTCCTGACTAACTTTTGACATTGTATGTCACTGTCATCAGTATTATATGACAACATCTATTATCATCGACGATGTCTTTTCTTATTATTGTCATGATTCCGTGTTTTTGTCTATTTGACACCTAGCTATATTGTGTGATTTTGTTCAATCATCAAATTCTTCATACTATTTCAATTATTATATTTTGAGCGAGAATAGAAATGAATGATTTCTTGAGACAAGACTATTGATTTGTTATAAATCTTCATTTCTTTCATTTGATTTGAATAGAAGACAGTACACAGATGAATCAAACAAAAAAAAGAAGGAAAAAAACAAAGAGTTGCAATTAATGTCACATACAAACGTCAATCGAATAGTCTCCTGCTGACCTCCACCATGCACACATATTCTTGCTTGATCTCTCTTGAGAGTTGTAAAATTACGATGAAAAATGAGATGATTGCATATGTATGGAGAAATAAGTAGTACTCCTTGCCTATTACTCGTATGTGTAATTGTGTGTTGCATTTCGTATTTTTATTTAAGATTGTTGAAGCATCATCATCGATCTTTATATAATGTTCCTATTATTTTTCCTATATAAAGAGAAAGAATAAATAAAAAAAAAAAAGAACGAAAAAAGATGAGTATGCCATTAGGTAAAGTATAAATGCTTATTTCTTTTTTTGGTTACTCTTATTCAATCTTTTACAGATTTTTTTTCATTTAATACATAAGTAATCTTTTATTATTTAAAAATATCTGCCTCTATCATCATATACTTGAATTTATTGTATTATATTCCATTGATTGAATGAAATCATGTGTAATTTTGAATTATTTCTATGATATATCTAATCGTATACTAACTACGATAGTTATTTACATGTCTAACAGAATAGACATAATTAATATGAATTTTTGTATCTTTTCTTTTCAAACTATTTGCAATAGTACTATTGCTAAGAGACAAAATTTTCTACAGAGATGTGTTAAATTCAAATATCCATTTCATATTTTTTTTCTATATTTCAGAGCATTCGATAAACTGCTAATTCCTTGTCCTTTTCATAATGTTATCCGACATTCTGGCCGTGTTCGTCGTTACACTTATCTCATCATTGTTTTTACCCACCACATATGTGCACGGTCTTCCGAGTTCATCATCAACCCTGCACTATATTCGTCGTCATCCATCTGCTGATTTATATTCTTCACTCAGGCTCTTACGTCATCATCCAATACCGAGTATTGATTATGATTTAGGTGGTGATACTTCTCAAATGTTGATTGGCGAAAGCAACGAATTACCAACAATTAACGACCATGATGACGATGATTCATCATTCTTTGCTTCTTCTCTTCATGCACCTCATGAGCCATTCGAGTTTTATCATCAACCATCATCATCTAAATCATTGTCTAGAAAATTATTATTATTATTAACAAATCAACAACAACAACAACAAAAAGAAAGAAATGAACAACAACAGAAACGATCCCCTTCATCATTACTCAACACACCACCTTCATTACCGACACAATTCGATTTCAATTCGGCTCTTCCCAAAGAAATATATGCTGATCCATCTCATGCAAATAGCATTGTCAATTTGAGTCAGTTGAGTGACTCGACACGTTTGTCACCTTCACTCAAGCTTTTGGTTGAAACAAATCCGTTTGCGCGTGCTTGGCTTACTCTACTTTTACAAAAAGTCATGGAAGAACAACAAGTACCGTACATTTTCAAGTATGGTCGACGACGCAAGAAATAATTAAACAAAAATGAATATATCATCAACAAAAGTCGAACGACGAAACGCGAGCCAAGAAAGTCATTTCTCCATCATTATTTTCATCATCGTCATTTCGACATCGTACAAAAAATTTGTAATATCACCATCATCATCATCAGAGCCAAAATTATGTCTAAATGTGCCGGAGACCCAGAATAAAATTCCTTTGCCTAAGAAAAAATATTCATATTATGAGCATGTAAACCTTTCAAATCATATAAAGCAAAAACGCAATAACAAAGGCTCTTTTTTTTAATTCAATGAAAAGTCATGTTGT